ACTAGAGATAAAATATATAGACAGGTACACGAATACGAGGATCAATCATCAACATTATTCTTGTCTACTTTTGCCAGGTTTCGATTTTTTGGAACAAATACAATGTACTGACATTCCAAGTATTTTATATGGACACTTTTAAAGTACTTTTTCATGACCTACTTCGAGCATTTTAATGTAGGGTGAGTACCCAGCATTTTCTTCTATTCAATTGAAAAACAAGACGATACTGTCAATTAAGCTGTATTAATATGTTTACTTCAGACAAAAAAAATTGTGTATGATGTTTTCGTCATGTATAAACGCCTACGACCCCTCATATCGCATGATTCTGATCCATTTTCTTTTCAATAGAACACTAAATTATATTTCAACGTTCGAACGAAAACATTAATTTTCTTTCTTTGACCTTGAAAATACAATCAGCTAATTATATATAAGAAGCGAAATTAGTTGTTGTATTACATTTCAAATTTTGTTTCAAACATGGTTCTCTTTATTTTGACAATTCTGCTTCAATTTGGATTTCAATCCGTTGAAAGTGCAGCAAGCAATTCCTTATCTGACTGCAATGTAATAGCTGCCAAATTTAGAAACACTTGTAATGGAATAGCTGTTAATAACATTACTGCCACTACGGGTACCAATGTATCATGTAGCTCAGGTTTCACTAGTACAACGTGTCCCGGTACAATGTATGGTAGTACGTGTGTATTTCAACATAAACTGTGTGTCACTTGCTCTAGCAGCACAACTATTCGTATTCGTGTTCAGTCGAATGGACTGCCACTTTTTTGTCCTAATACACCTGCAACTATAAAAGAATTGAACGTTGATTTTGAGGTGAACTTTAATCCTAATATAAATGTCAATTCTCCTGTACAGAATCCAACAACTTCATCACAATTGAACTCTATCGTTTGCAACATTAGTAGTCAAGCATCTGTACCATCCGCATCCAATTACGTATCTTACAGCAGTTCTGGTTCTTTCAATACACTTGCTGGTATCAGTGTTGATGGTGTTACAATTTTAAATGTAAACAGTGTCAATAATGTCGATCCGTTTTATCCAACTGGAAACTATGCATCAGAATTAGTTGATGCATGTTTAGGACATCCAAATGCAGCAAGCAATGGTTATCATTACCATATTGCATCGGGTTGTCCACTGAATCCTCCCACTGGGATGATCGGATCCTGTAAGTCTACTCCTTCTTGTAATGCAAGTATTGCTAACTATTCAATATCAAAATTTTCGTCATATCGTACTTTGACTGTAATTGGAATCGCCAAAGATGGGCATGTTATCTATGGACCTTACGATTCAACAGGCACTGAAGTAAGAATACTATCGATCGAGGGACTACGATTTCGTAAACTGGACGGTTTCATCAATCTCCATAGAAACTCGTAGAAGTCTCTTTTAACCCTTTAACTCCCGGCGACGCATATATGCGTCCAAACATTTTTAAATAAAAGTTTGGATTTTTGCAGAAGAAGTCGGGAGTCAAAGGATTAAGAACTAGCGTGGCAGATAGATCTCGTCACGCTCTATCGAATGGTGTGTCTTTTAATCCTTTGACTACTGGCTTTTTCCGCGAAAATCCAAATTTTTATAAGAAATATTTGGACGCATATATGCATCACCAGGACTCAAAGGGTTAAATCAGCTGTGAAATCAAAAATGATGTACTTTACTACGTAGAAACTTGTAGCAGTTTTAAGCTAGATGATTTTAATACGACAATTAATGTATGCTGTATTTTATAGGTAACGAGTGGTTTCGATATATGCAACGGTATGTTTTATGATTCTATTGGAAATTACGCCTATTTTGCTACGCGGACATTTCCGTATATAACGGGTTGTTTCGGTCCTGGTAATTATCCAAGTTTTCTTCCAAGTTGCACAACAAATAAACCTGCAGCATATACAAAATCAATATATGCTGGTAAATAAACTCAATAAACAAAGACCATCATGAATATAATTAGTACAATCGAGTAGTCAATGTTTTGCAAAAACTAATCTTTACTAGTGATAATAATGAGTTGAATAGAGTGAATTCTATATATCTATTGTGTTATGTATCATTTATCATATTTCTTTTCCTTCATTTTTTTCGCCAAGACCATTTACTTTTCTTCCTTTTATTGCTTATTAACATACATCATTTTTAAAAATAAAATATTATCACATTATCAGTTTCATATTATACATAAATCTCTCATTTCTTTCAAATAACGATTTTAGAATTAGAAAAAATTGATTTTAATCGTATATAATTTAACCTCGAAGTTTCTCTAAAAAACTTTATCTTTTATTTTTTAATGAAAGAGAGCATCAACTAACTATTGACATCAAATTGATAAACAATCTAAAAATGAGTACCTTTATCTTTCCAGCTGATTGTTATATCTATAATTTTTTCAATAAAAGAGTAATTGTTTAAAATTTCAAGCAATATTTCATATGAAGATCCAGGCAACCACACTATAGTCAGTAAACTTCAGGAAAAGATAAAAAAAAGAGACTTGTGTTGTTCGTAAGTTCTTTTTTTTCGTTAATGTTGATTGAATGTCGGTTTACTTGTCCTTACGATGAAAAGACAACGATATGTAACATGAGTAAAACTATGAAAAGTCTCCGTTTTTATCGTATTTTCATCCCACGTATAATACAATCATATGTATATCATACGTGTCACATGTTTTACTATGAAGTGGTATTATATGAGAATATATGTTCTCATGAACAAATGAACTTTGAACACACAGTAAAAAATAACATATATATTAAAGCTATCACGATCTGTTTTGACCTTTCTTAAGAGTCTCATCCGGTGGCAGAGATAGTTTTGAAACGTTTTTCATTCATATTGGACAAGGAAAAGTTGAAAACCAACATTCATAAAGAGAAATTTAACAATTTTGAGCAATTGTGTCAAATGTTGGATGCACAATAAATTCTACACAAGTGTTACACTGAGAATTAATATTCTTGTTTCCTTGTTTTCATATTCTTTTTCAATATATTCAACGTAAGATTCATATCTTATCTGCAACATCTTATTAGTCTAAAATAAAAAAATTTTTGTTGATAAAATCTTGGCCAGTAAGACAAGAAATCTATGGTCGCAAAAAATCTTGTAATCCTCAGATATTAAATATCACATTCATTTTGTGTATTGACTAGAATGGTTTCTTGGATAATCTCTCAAAATTCTTACGTCCTGTTCTCACAATCAGTATCAATGTGGTACAGTAATTTCGTTTTCACAGAAATTACGAGCATGACAAGTATCAACACAAGGAAAATATGAGAAAATAATCAACTATTGGAAACGAAAAATAATGAAAAAATGAACCAGAAGTTCATATATTGTTTGATAAAATGTTTACCGAATAGATTAGAAAAACTTTAAGAACAAACAAAATCATTCGTGTAGTAAATATCAACTTATTTTGTTTTTATACATTATTAACTCTAAACAAGCACGTACAAGTTATTTACATATATATGGATATATAAGAATAAAAAAAAAGATGATCTATTCTCCAACTTTAATATGAATTTTTTTATCGTTGGATTATCGATAGAAAGAATGTTAAATGGATTTTAAGAAGAAAAAAACTCATCTAATACATCTAAAGAAAAAAAGAAAATGGCAAGAGTATCAATTGATGATCATTCAGGTGCACAAATAAAAACGGTATCAATTCATTGTGTTAGTACTTGTTTGAATAATATTCATATATGCAAATGTTAGAATAGTTTTCCATTGAAAGTACTATATGCATTACAAACACACATCATCCACATGCAAAAACGATCGTTTAAACAAAAGATTGTTCTGTATCGTCATTCTCAAAACGATTGTAAACGAAAACTGATCAAATGAAATATATTTCGAACAATTCAAGTCGAAAATTATTCAAGACACATCTATTTCCACTAAATAGCTAAATTTCTTCAATTTTGATAGAGATTTGAAGTTATACATTCATAGAAAAAAAATTACTAGCAATTACATGGGATATTTTTACAGAGCAGCTTATTGGTTACGCCGATTAAGATTCTCATTCATTCTGAAATTTACTATCAGATATATATTCGTTCAAAAATAAATGATTCTTACATGCTTAAAAGTTGACTACAAGACCACTTATCTGGCAGAATATAATACTAAGATATACATTTGATTAATAAGAGTAAAACTGATAAAAGTGGCTAATAACCAATGACTCAAATTTTTATATTAAACTATATTTATATTTTAATGAAACTAAAATGTTTCTGTGATGTGCTTCAGCTATTCAACAAAATATATGATATCGTTGCTGATGCCATATAAACTTTCAAGAAGATTTTTTCTTGTATTTTTTTTTTAAAATAGCAACACTTTTAGTTTGTTTTCTTACTAATTCTATTAGACCAGGAGATGATGTTCTCTTAGTCTTATAATAACGTATTCTTCTGATAATTGTTTTAACTTTTTCTTGATTATTATATCGATGTTTCATCACTTGTCGTAGATATTAATGGAACAGATGGTTTAAGACTTCGTTTTGGAAGAAAGATTGACCAGGTAAAATGAGCACAAACGATAAGTGTTGTTTGAAAAACATAGAACCATACTTCATGACTATTGATTTGATCATAATAGGACGATATCGATTGAATTAGATTAAAGCTAGCAATAATTACACATAGCACACTGGAGATGATGATCAGAATAAAGGCTCGTCTAGTCATATCTTTCATTGTTTTACTCCAATACCATACGAGATAGAAGAAAACAGTTGCTGCGAGTAAGATTAATGCAGTTAGTTTTCAAAAAAGAAAACTTGCATTCTTATGGTCAGGAGGATGAGGATGTGGGTGTCAATCTTTTTTTCCTTTACACCCACACCCACACCCACACATCCACACCCATTCTTCCCACACCCACACCCACACCCCATAAAACAATTTCAACCATGTTTCAGGTATACGATATCATCGAACTGGACTTAGTCCTTCATGAAGTTTATATGGAGGATAATTAACTAAATCATGTGGCCATAAACGTTTTCCATTATGTTCACTTCGCCGTTTAATTGATGATAAATCTTTTAAAGAATCTTCTACACGTAAAACTTTTTCATCTTTTTTATGTTCAATTGATGATTTATCATTTAAAATTTGATTTATTAAATAAAAACAAAAACAATGAAAAATCAACCTGTTTTAGATAATTTATTAATTGAACTTGATTTTGATGTTCCACTATTGATAAAATATATTTGAAATGGATAATGACCGATTTATGATCTCAACACCATTCGATAGAAATGGACGAGTTAATTTAGTTAACATCTGAAATTATAGAAATATATTTATTCTCACATTTATTTTCATATGAAATAATACATAAACAAATAAATTCTAAAAGCGACTTCTTTTGTTTATTTTTTTTTAATTTTCAACAAGATTTTTTATTTCTAATATTTACAATTAGAAATCCATATTTTATATCGGAAAATAATATTCTACAGAAAAAAAAAGTTATTTAGAATTAATCGCAATGATTGATAATCTACCAATTATAAACAAAAGTCTCGTTTGAAATAATCTCCACATACACACATTTTATAATGCACCGTGTGAATATATCGTATCTCGACCGAAACAAATGAAAACTAGATCAATATTATTTGCTGATATTGTTCAGTTTACTTCAGTGTCAATCAAATAAAAATGTAGCACAATTAGTTTGATTATTATCTGATTTACTATGGAAGATTTGATGATGTATGTGTTGAAATGTCATGTGAAAAAATCGCAACATTTATTGGTAAACGACGTTTAATCCACTGAATAACTCTAAAAATTTCCGCAAATAACATTAACAACAGCTGCTGCAATCTCGACTGCATCAAGAATTCAACATTCTGTTCCATTAAATGATGCAAATAAGATTCGAAATGAAAGTAGAGCACTGGTAAGAATTAAATTAAATTTTTATAAAATATATCTTTTAAAAATGAAAAAGAATCTATCAAGTCCATTATTAGAAGAAGTTGAACGAGTTCAACGAGCAAGAGTTAGTGAAGAAGATACCTCAAAAAGTTTAACAAATGAAATAAATGTTCAAAATCTAAATGAAACAATGATTGAAAATGAAGAAAAAAGAATTAGTTATGACTTTTTATTTGTTAACATTAAAATATAAAGACAAATGATTAAAAGATGCTTTTTCAAAACATATTAATCCACATTCATTATTAATTATTGTAGTTATTTTATCAATAATATCATTTATTTATTTACCAATAGAATTAAAATCATCAATAATAATGATTATTTTTATTTCAATGAATGTGAAAGAGTTGATTGGCTTTTAAGAAATATTTTATCTGAACATGTTATCGAACCATTGCATCAATTAGGTGGAACATATTCTTGTAATCATCCATATGTTGATGTTCTTTTTGCATCATTAGTTTATTTTATCATGTTACGTATCAAGAACAATATGAAGGAGAAAATTTTATGCGAGAATTTTAAATGAAATTTATGGAGATATTCAAGAATTATTTCTTGATACGAGATTTTCTAAAACTGAAAAAATCAAAACTATTGAAGCAATATTTATGGTTGTATCTGATTTACAAACTGACTTAAATGATCAAAATCAAATTTGAAATAAGTTATTTTATAAAAGACAAATTGTTATAGAATCTGTTTGTGACCTTGTTGAATTTGCATTAGCATTGCAATCAATTATGCCAAATTTTAATGAAGCACTTTTAAATTTTTGCATTTGAACTTCGAATGGGTTTTAATTTTGGACCAATAACAGCTGGAATTATTGGAACAACTAAATTATTTTATGATATTTGAGATGATACAGTTAATGTTGCTTGAAGAATGGATTCAACGGGTGAAAAGCAACAAATTCAAGTTCCAGAACATGTTGCTATAGCTTTAAAAGATAAATATCAATTTGAACTTCGTAGAGGAATTGATGTTAAAGGAAAAAGTCGAACGAAAATTTATTTTCCCGAACCAAATTCAAAACATTAACAATGACATTTTTTTTCTCAATTTTAGAATAAAATAAAATAAAATAGATTTTGTTTTTCTTTGCAAAACAAAATCGACCTATTTGATTCGAAAAAATGGCCCATGTTCTTGATACTCGTAATGGTTAGTTGAATAATTTGAAATAAAAAAATCATATTTAACCGATTTTATTTTTTTAGGTATTCATCTCGACATATCAAACAAATATTTAAAGGTTAAAGGTGTAAATCTCGTAAGTGTATGCGTGATTTGTCTATATACAGGATGTCCCAAAAGTCACACACCAAACAAAAAAAAATTAAATATCTCCGTTAAGGCTTGAGCAAATGAGCTGACTTTTTTCGTCGATGGTAGAGGCATATACAAGCTTTTTATTCATAAGGGCATGTCTAGGTAGACCCTCTATCAATTAACCCTATTGACTTCAAGAATAAAAAATATGCTTTTTCATATATCAAAAAAAAACCAATATAATATACAGAAAGGAACATTTTTCAGAAAAGAATAATCAATATGGTAAAGCAAATATTCATATTGTTTGCCTTCTGTACTAATACACATTTGGCAACGCTTAGCTACAGAACGAGAGATTGCTTGGCATAATTCGATATTATTATTGAGCGATATAAATTCATATTAAATTAATAATTTCAGATAATCCACATCACCGTTTGTTTGGAATGTAGCTGCGTCTGTCCACAAAATTCGATCTAATATAGTTGGATCTTCTACAATTGAATCTAAAACCCATTGACAAAATTCAAGTCGTCGATCAGGATCATCCTCATAGGGCTTGTAATAATCTCGGTTTGTACGGTTTTAAATGGAGATCTTTCATGATACGTTGTAACCTTGAACGTGAGATATCAAGTTCACGCGCTGCACGTCTTTGTGACGTTTGTGGATTAAGAAGAAAACTTTGAGAAACAAGTTCCATATTTTCTTCTGTATTTATTGATGTTGGTCTACCACTTCGAGGTGCATCTTCTACAGAACCTGTCTCATCAAATTTTTTTGCTAGTCAGTAAATTGTTTGTCGAGCTGGAATTTCGTTGTCAGGACATCCACCATTGCTTGAGGACAAATATTCTTTGTTCTTTTGTTAAAACTCTCGGCATCTGTACATACGAATTCGAAGTAAGATAGAATGAACAATATGCAGCAAAGAAGCACAGATCTTACCGGGAATATCGAAAACGTACGTACATTGCTGCTAAAGCAATATAATGAACAATATAAATAAAACGATTTAGATCGTGTAAAGTGCCAACATAGGTTATAGGAGAACAGAAGGAGAAAAGTACGAAAAGAGAATATATATGAATACAACACGCGTTGTTTATAAGTTTATTCTATTAATTACATTTTCTCTGAATCAACTGTTCTTTCTGTATATTACATTGTGTTTTTTCGTATATAAAAAAACAGATTTTTTATTCTTGTAGTCAACAGGGTTAATTAATAGAGGGTCTACCGAGACATGTCCTTATGAATAAAAAGCTTGTATATGCCTCTATCATCGACGAAAAATCAGCTCATTTGCTCAAGCCTTAACGGAGATATTTAATTTTTTTGTTTGGTGCGTGACTTTTGAACCACCCTGTATTAATAAAAATTTGTTTCAGACACCGGCAGCACTATACCTTCGCAATAAAACATCTGTTAAATTACACCTTTCATTATTATTTATTATGGCATTGGTTTATATTATCTTGATGATCATATTTGTTCACCAAATGTTAATGCTCTACAAACACAATAATACAAAATTAATTAATGAACATCATGAAACTGTTGTTAAAATCTTAAAAAATTTCTCGTCTGATAAACTTAATTGTAATGAATGTATACGTAATCATACATCTTATGACCAAATAGAAATTATTCTCGAATCGTATGAAGATATTGTCGATCAGCATACAATATTAAAATATGTACGATCAGTGCTCAACATATTTGGTCTCTTTAACATATCAATAGTATTGATCGTTTATGGTAGCCCAATCATCATTAATACAACAACAGTTATTAACGCTATATGTCTTATTGTGGTCCAATATATTGAAACAGTTAATACATTAGCTTATTTAGAAAGTATCATCGCGTTGGTTGCCACGATTGCGACTGTACAATCTTCCTATATTTTGATAATAGCTATGTTTGAAGTAGATAGGAAAAATTATAGAAAAGCTGAATAGATTTTATGCATTTATTTTTCGTCTCTAAGGTTAGAATTTTTTCGTTAAAGTCATTCGATCATTGAAAAAGGTTTTTTTGTTTGTTGATGTGTGTCAACTGATTTTTTTTTATTCTCTTTGCTTTTTGTATTGTTCTTGCAGATAAAACAATTTTCCTCATGTCAGCTTATTCAGATGCTATGAATAGGAATTTAGATGATAAAATAGAAAAAAAAACTTTTGGTAGAATGGTAAGTGATAAGTGTCTACATGTGGGATAAACAAATATTCTCTTGTGTCTCTAAAAGAAGAATTATAAGTGAATGTTTTTTTATTTATTTTTAGCGACCACAACCACTTGATTATTTATTAAATCGAAATAAATGGATAATATTATTAATTTGTCTTATTTTAATTATCACTTATTACTGGATATTGTCCATAGTTTTTTCCATGATGAAAAATATTCATTCGAAACATGAATATTTTGATGAACATTTGAAAAAAGAAAGAGATGAATTGAATACAATTACACAAAAATTATTTCAATTAAAGAAAGTTGCTAGAGATAATCTTGATATAAATGATAAAGTGTGTCAGAAATTTTGGTCTTCAATTTATAGGTTAGATTATAATTATATATTTTATAATATATTGGAAAATAATAAACACATTAAAAAATCCTATGATAATACATTATCTTCATTACAAAATTATTTGATTTTAGTTTATTACATTAATACAACTTCAATGACGACGATTTTCAAAACACCATTTCGATTGTTTTTTTTATCAAGTTTATTTGCTATTATAAATTTGTGTATACAAGCTGAATTTTTTATTGAGGACGTACCAAATGTTTATTACACACTTATCATTGGTCTTTGTATATTTTTATTTTCCATTTTCCTGTTATTGAAGATAACGATCACATTATTAACTATTATTCATTATCGAATTATAAAAAATATTTTAACTAGCGAATAATTATTCTTTATCTTATAAACGTTGTACATTAATACATTACAATAATTGTTAAAAAAAATCTAAAATATGTCAGAATTTACTTTATTCTTTTGTATTTTCGTCGAATAAATCTGGTAAATTCATATTTAGTTACTGTTTATTTCTTTTCTTTTCCTTGTTAATTATCATTTTTACAAACTTTCTTGTCAATATAGCATTTATTTGATAATTGCATCAATATTCTATATGAATAAATCCATGAGCATTCAACCACTTCTTGAGAAGTTTTTTTTGGTAATCGTTGAATTTTGTTTTCATATGTATAAAGGGTGTCCCAGAAGTTCTGTTACAATTTTGAAATTCATCGTTCTCGCGTTCAATAAAAGCAAACTTTTTGAAACTTTGGCAGATTATTGTACATATCAAGTACTACATAACTACAAAGTTTGAGGTCTATAGCTTTTACTATGAATGAGAGCTAGTAACAAGATTGTCATGCACTAATTTTTCAATTTTTCTGATCAGCTTTATTATTATTAAAAAGAAATACAAACAATGAAAATAGAAAGAAATGCACAATAATGGGTGTTGATGTTCGCGTCATTGATTAACATCTTGATGATTTACTAATTTTAATCATGCTGATATTTTATCAATCATTGATTGACATAATGAAACACTAAATCTATTGCATTCCTTTTTATTGTTGTTTTCCAAGTGTTCAATATCAGTATTCGTGCCACTGTGATTTCTCTATTAATGCACGCAAACGTTTTCGATAGGCCAAAGGTCGACTAGTTAGCAGTGCGACTTTTCGATTCAATTCGATGGATTAAAACTTCCTTAACAGTATTATAAGAGAAATTACAATGGTAAGAATACTGACATTGAACATTTAGAAAACAACATTAAAAAGGAATGCAATGAATTTAGTGTTTCGTTGTGTCAATGAATGATCGATGAGATATCAGCATGATTAAAATTGGTAAATCATCAAGATATTAATCAATGACGTGAACATCAATATAATCAGAAAAATTAAAAATTTTTACATGACAATCTTGTTACTGGCTCTCATCCATAGTAAAAGCTATAGACCTCAAACTTTGTAGTTATGTAGTACTTGATATGTACAATAATCTGCCAAAGTTTCAAAAAGTTTGCTTTTATTGAACGCGAGAACGATGAATTTCAAAATTGTAACAGAACTTCTGAGACACCCTTTATGATGTCATAAAACAGTCAAGAAATAGAAAAAGTCAAAACTAAAGAATTATATGTACTCCAAACAGTATTGTATCTTATTTCTTTTGTGTGTTCACAACTCTTCTTTTATTGTGTAGCTTTTGAAATATATCGATAAATGGTGGAACGTCTTTTTGATAAAGATTAATAGAATACTATATTTTCAATCTTTAGATATGTGGCTTTAGTCAACCTAACTAATAAGTAAAGAGTTATGCAGTTTTTTGTACTAATCATTATGAATGTTTATATCGTTGATGATGATCATTATCATCATGTTGCAATTTTCGATTTTCATTAGTTTGCTTTTGACTTGTTGGTATTGAATTGATTGGTTGAAAACGGAATAATTGAATAATATTTTCAAGAAAATATTCTCAAGCATTAATTGTTCTTCCTTTGATATTTATTATATAAACAATCAAAAAAAAAATACTGATGGAATAAAGTTACATCAATTGTTGCTAAACAATTACAGAAAATAAATACACTATTTTCTATATTAAATATTTTCACATTCTGAGCATTAGAACGAATTTCAATGGAGGATAAGCTTTTAGCATATCAGAAAGTAACATATTTTTCTGCAACCGTAAATAAAAGCTCAGAAACTTTTGCCCTATTTTTGATCATATTGTTTATATTTCTCTAAGCTATCGATTCTATTCTTATTATAGACTAATGTACAAAAAATTTAAAAAACGATGATGGTCTAGATTCGACTTGTCGATTATTACTGAATGTGAATATGGATTCTTCCTACACCACATGAAACTGACACTGACCGAATCTGATTTTCGGTAGGATACCAGGAGAAGATAAGAATCCATGTCCCAAACCGTCACTGAAATGGACACTAGGATCGTGCCACAGTCGACACTATAGCTAAGAATGCGATCGGGCCTCTGAGTTCTCTTTGAAGCAGAGATTGAAGCTGAGGCAAATAGTGCAACCGAAACTGAAACTGGGAATGAATTGGCGATGGGAATCAAATATTCATCTGAGACGCAAGCTGAGATCGGTGAATTGACTGAAACTGAAACCTGCATGGCTTCTGAGACTTTTAATGGAAATTTGACACTGTAATAGAGAAAGCGGACAATCTGAGGATGCAATCTGAGGATCGTCATGCGACGTCGACTGAAATTAAGACGAGCACGTTTAGTGAATATTGAATGGGCTTCCGAATCGGATCTGAAGCCCAAACTATTATGGAGATGAGGTCGTCGTCGAAATGAAATCTACAATCGAGATGCATGCTAAGACAGAAGTCGAGTATAACAGAATCGTATGCGGCTTCCACGATTTTTACAGAAACTTGGAGAGATATTGAGTGCAGGTCTGAAGCTCGGACTATACCCGAGCCTAATCTGAGTAGTCATCCCGAAATACGTTTGCTACGAGCGCTACGGTCAGGTGCGAAGCTGACACTGTAATTGAGAAGGCGACCAAATTTTGAGTGCAGTCTGAAGCCGCAACCCAAGCCGAGGACAGTAATCGACCGCAACTGTAACGAAGACGAGTACCGATCTATGAAAAACTCCGGGAT